ATCAATCAATCAATCAATCAATCACTTTCTAGAGCAAATTTATCTTATCCACAGTGACTGGTTTAAAGATCAGAATGAGATCTGAACGACAATCCACAAGTGGGAGATATGACAAAATGGGGTAATATATTTCTCTTTGGTAATATATTTTAATCTTTGATAATATATTTTAATCTATTTCTTTCAACATCAGAATCCTGGAGAAATGAATCAAACTTCATTCAATATAGTTTTCAGTTTAGGCTTTGTGCTATAACTATAGTACAAAAACACTGGCATTTAATCAGCTAATAGCAGAGACAATTCTTACATTGGTTCCATTGAGAAAATTTCCAATGGCTAGCAGAGTAGAAAGAATAAGTCCCAAGGTTTTATTGTTCTCCAGCTGGTCCATTCCTTCCTTTAAGTCTAACAATGGTTCTGCAACCTCCTGTCATTAACAGAAAAACAAGGAAATGATGTGTGGATTCTTTTGTATTAATGCATTGTATTATTACAATATTTTTAATAAATACAACAATTTTCAAACTATGCTCAAGCAGACTGCAGTCTTTCCTTGTTTATCTACTCAATTTCTTTTTTTAATTTTAATTTTAACTACAACATAAACAAAAACATAAAATACATAAACCAAAATACAAATCAACTGTGTTCCCCACCACTATAGATGGGACCTCTTGCAATAATCCTCTACTTGGTCCATTTATATTCTTCTTCTTCTTTTATTGTCCTCTTCTCCAGAACTGCATTGATTCTTGATTTGGAGATTTCCCTTTTCCTCTTGTAAATACATATTCCAGAAATCTACCCCATATATCATAAAATTATTCTTTTTCATCTCTCCTTTTCTTAACCTTTAAGTTACAAGTTAACTTATAATTTATAGCTATAGTCCATTTTCATTATACCATTCTTCTATTCAAAATTCAGATTTTTTTGATTTCCAGTGTCTAGCTATTACTAATCTAGCTGCTGTTAATAAATTGTTAATCAGTTTTTAGTCATCTTATCACATTCAACATTCTCAAATATTGATAACATTCTCAAATATTGAAAACAGAGCTATCGCAGGATTAAATTCTGTATCTTTTTCACATATGTCATTTAGTTCTTTAAATATTAGTTTCCAAAGTGTTTGTACTTTTTCACATTCCCACCACATATGAAAGTATGTACCAATTTCCTTCTCACATTTCCAACAGGCATTCAGATAACTAGTGTTAATTTTATTCAATTTTGTCTGTGTTAAATACCATCTTAAGCCCAATTTTTTCTCTTATTCTCACTGACAAAAATCTTAAAACCCTCCTTTTCCACATTTTCCTCCATTTTTCATCATTTATTCTTTTTCCTAATCTTGTTCCCACACTAACTTCAATCCTTCTTTCTCACTGTCTTCTTCTTCTAAGCCAAGTAGGCATCTATAAATTTTACTCACTGCACCCTTTACTAAATCAGTCATCTGAATATAATAGAAATTGTTCATACTTTGTGTATTCTCTACCTTTTTTATATTTCCTTACCCATTTGTTAGTCCATCTTTTTAATTGCATAGAATTCAACCATGAATTACATTACAAGCCACTCCAGTATCTTTGCCAAGAATACCCCATGAACAGAAACAAAAGGCTAAAAGATATGACGCTGGAAGATGAGCCCCTCAGGCCAGAAGGTGTCCAACATGCTACTGAGGAAGAGCGGAGGACAAGTACAAGTAGCTCCAGTGCTAATGAAATGGTTGGGCCAAAGCCGAAAGGACGCTCAGCTGTGGACATGCCTGGAAGCGAAAGGAAAGTCCAATGCAGCAAAGAAAAATACTGCATAGGAACCTGGAATGTAAGATCTATGAACCTTGGTAACCTGGATGTGGTCAAACAGGAGATGGCAAGAATAAACATTGACATCGTGGGCATCAGTGAACTAAAATGGACACAAATGGGCAAATTCAATTCAGATGACTATCATATCTACTACTGTGGGCAAGAAACCCATAGAAGGAATGAAGTAGCCCTCATAGTCAACAAAAGAGTGGGAAAAGCTGTAATGGGATATAGTCTCAAAAATGAAAAAATGATTTCAATATGAATCCAAGGCAGACCTTTCAACATCACAATAATCCAAGTTTATGCACCAACCA